GAAGTGGCACTGTGGCTCAAGTGGTAGAGCGCTAGCCTTGAGCTGAAGAGCTGAGGGACAGCGCCCAGGCCCAGAGTTCAGGCCCCACGACCGGAAGCAAAAAAAAAAGAGTGAAGATGGCCAGGCTGCTCACACCTGTATTCCTAGCTACTCAGGAGGCTGAGATCTGAAGATCAAGGTTCACAGCCAGCCCAGGCAAGATAGTCCTCCAGAATCTTATCTACAATTAGTCACCAGAAAACCAGAAGTGACACTGCAGCTTCTGGTGTTAAAACACTGGCCTTGAGTGGAAAAAGCTCAGAGACAGTGACTAGGCCCTGAGTTCAAACTCCACAACTGACCCCCCCCCCAAAAAAAGAGTGAAGATTATTTTTAGGGCACTACTAACTTCCTATTAGCTGTAACTGAGAAATTCAGAGTAAGTCCTAACCTAATAAAGTCCCTCACACTGTCTCAAGGGGTCACAGAAGTCACACAGAGACTAATGGAGGAAAAGATTACATGTAAAAGAGCTATGCCATATTAATTCAAAACCACAATTCCCAGGATTCCATTCAAATTACCTTCCATAGTCACTGAGTGACATATAAACAGATCTGTACAAACCATGTATGCAGTTAAACATGTCCCCCCACCTCCCAGCCGGGTCACATGCTGAGGCCAGGTCTCACCGTCACATGCAGGGCTGCTAGGGCCTCATCTATGGCAGCCAGGTAGTCAGGCAGCAGGTCCAAGAGACAAGTGGCCAAAAAAACACCTCCTGCGAAGCAGCTTACTAGGCTTAGAGCTTTCTGGCGGGAAACTGGGCAGGAGTGTAGAACAGAGGGCAATGAGCAAATGAAGCCCCTGAAAGACCCACGACTCTCACCCAAGCCATATCTACTCCTGCCTCCCGCTTCTTCTTCTATCACCTCCACATATCCCAGAGTCTTCCTACCCAAATCCCAGCAAGGGCAAGGAAAAGAAACTCTCACCTGAGGATTCCTGGTTAGCACCAGGCCGACGCAGCACACAGATAGGCACCAGGCTGCAGAGGAGGGTGAGTACGAAGAGTAGCACCAGGGCCCCCAGCTTCACCTCTAGCCCCACAGGCACTGAGGGCTCCGAAGCTACAGCTTCTGGGCGCCACACAAGGAGCTCTGGCTCTCCCCAGGGCCCCATGGTGTTGTAGGAGCTCCAGTGACTCTCAGACCTGGAAAGAGAAGACTGCAGTCTGTCACACAGGAAGATGGGGGCCACGCAAAGGGGAAGGCTGGTCAGCAGGGTGCACTTCCTTCACCCCAGCCATTCTCTGGCCTTTCCTCAAGTGGGAGGGGGGTGTGTGTGTGTGACTCATCCACTCCAGCACCAGGAACATTCCTCCTTCCCCTCAGAATTTCTCTCTCCCAAGTGACTTTGTTGAGGGAGCCACCAAGGGGGAAACTGAGGCACGAGGCCGCTGTGACTCTTGCACTCGGAGCTACCAGATAACTAGAGGTAGCCTTCAAACAGAACCTAAAGCAGGCAGAAGCCACATAGATCTGTCTTCCAGGAAGGGGATAAAGCAAAGGGGGCCAGGGGACAAGGGGACAAGGGGGTTAGGACCCGGGTGGCTTCGTGGACCACTCTCTCACTCCCTTTTCCCCATTCCCGGGAAGCAAAGGGCAAGGCGCCACTTCAAGGCTCGGGCTGGGTCCATCAGGGGCAGGTGGCCCAAGGAAAAGGCCTTGGGGGTCCCGGGACAGGCTGAGACGCCACTGAGGGCGGTGTCTGGAAGTCTGGACTCTAGGAGAAGAGGTCAGAGGTCACCAGCGTCTGAGGAAACACTGGAGGAACCTCAAAGGTCCTAGGCCCGGGGGGTGGGGGGGGGGAAGCTTAGGAGGCCGACTTCGATCGCGCTCCCGGGGAATCCGCACTCACCTCTCCAGGGTCTCACTACATGGTATCCGCTCAGTTCCGGCCCCGCGTCGGGAATTCCCGCCCACTCCCCAATCGCTCCCCCTCCCCCCGCGGCCGCTTCGGATTCTCACCAGACAGCCAATGAGTCACCGGGAGGGCAGAGCCTGGGCGGGAGTGACAGGGGTCAGAAGCAATCAATGACGGGTATCTGGAGAAGGCGGGGCAGGCACTGAGCCAAGAGTGAGCCCGAACCGGGGAGGAGACTAGGGAGAAGACTGGGGGCTCTGTAGGCCTACGGTGCTGTTTTGTTGGTCTGATGGGCCTGAACTGACTAGGCCATCGAAGTTCTGATCCATAGAGTTGTTGTTTTTAGAAGAGGAAGCTAAAACCCCGCGAGCAACGCCGATCCTCCTTCCTTGTCTTCCAGCCCCTAGTCCCCGAGCTCGGTTGCCTGGCCTAGTCCCTCAGTCTGCTTATGTCTAGGAAGACCCCAAGACCCAATTAGTTCATTGTAGCGCCCAGGAGAAATCAGTTTCCTTCTTGGGAAAACTGTGTTCCTAGACTTCCCTCGCTGTACCCTCGAAAAAGAAAAAAGGAGGAATTGCAAAAGGGAAGCATAGAGGGTATGTCTTAAAATCCTCCCATCCAGATTGCCAATGACTCAACTATCTATTGTGTCAATGGAGTTGTTAGAGAAAGCGGAGGATCCGGCTCAGGCAGGCGAACAACCACTCGGCACACTCCAGCTGGCTTCAGGCAGCTGCCAGACTTCTCCCCAATCTCAACACACATCTTTTTTTTTTTTCAATGTTAATTTTATTTTCTTTGACTTTTGGTGGTATTTTGTTTTGTTTTTGCCAATCCTGGGGCTTGGACTCAGTGCCTGGGCACTGTCTCTGAGTTTCTTTTGCTCAAGGCTAGCACTCTACCACTTGAGCCACAGTGCCACTTCCGGCTTTTTTCTTTTTTTGGGGGGGGGGAGGTCCGGTCGTGGGGCCTGAACTCTGGGCCTGGGCACTGTCCCTCAGCTCTTCAGCTCAAGGCTAGCGCTCTACCACTTGAGCCACAGCACCACTTCCGGCTTTTTTCTTACGTGGTGCTGAGGAATTGAACCCAGGGCCTCAGGCATGCAAGGCAAGCACTCTACCACTGAGCCAACTTCCCAGCCCCGGTATTTTCAACTGTGGACCTTCACTGTTTCCTCACTCTGTATCCAACTGGGTTGTAACCTTATGCTGCAAGAATTCTCTTCTCACCTCAGGGAGGGTTCAGAAGAGGAAAATTAAAAACTGGGGAGAAGGGGGGCTGCTAGGCACTCAGCGGTTTAGCCTGCAATCCTAGCAGCTCAGGAGGCTGAAGTTTGAGGGTCAGGTTTTGAAGCCAGCTCAGAGGGAAAAGTCCCTGAGACTCTTAGCTAAATGAACCACCAAAAAGCCAGAGGGGGAGCTCTGGCTCAAGTGGTACAGTACCAGCTTTAAGGGAAGTAGTTTAGGAAGAGCGCCCAGGCCCTCAGTTCAAGTCTTTATACCAGCGCGCCTGCGCACCCGCGCACACACCCACCCACACACACACACACACACACACACAAAGTAGGAATCAGTCTGTCCTTTTTTACAAAGATGAAAAGGTCTCCTTAGAGAAGGAACTCCAGTGGTGCACCAGATAAAGTTCTAGAAACAGAGGTCAGCAACTTCTTTAGGTGAACTACACAAAAGGATCTAGGAGAAAGAAATGCTTAGGACTCAGAGCAGAATGTCACTGAAATGGGCTCATCATTTTCTAATAGTGCAGACTGTCTAATATCTCTGTTTAAAAAGAAATAAACATTGTTAAGCCAGGTGCCCATGGCTCATGCCTGTAATCCTAGCTACTCAGGAGACTGACATCTGAGGATTGTGGTTCAGAGCCAAGCCAGGCAGAAAAGTCCATGAGAATGTTCTTTTTTGGGGGGAGGTCGTGGGGCCTGAACTCTGGGCCTGGGTGCTGTCCCACAGCTCTTCAGCTCAAGGCTAGCACTGTACCACTTGAGCCACAGCACTTTTTTTCTGGCTTTTTTTTTTTCTGCTTATATGGTGCTGAGGAATGGAACCCAGGGCCTCATGCATACAAGGCAAGCACTCTACCACTGAGCCACCTTCCCAGCCCCCTATGAGTCTCTTATCTCCAATAAACCTCCAGAAAAAGCTGAAAGTGGCTGGGAATGCGACTTTGTGGCAGAGTGTTTACCTAGCATGCATGAAGCCCTGGGTTTCATTCCTCAATACCACATACACAGAAAAAGCTGGAAGTGGTGCTGTGGCTTAAGTCGTAGAGTGCTAGCCTTAAGTAAAAGAAGCTCAAGGACAGTGCCCAGACCCTGAGTTCAAGTCCCAGGACTGGCAAAAAAAAAAAAAAAAGCTGAAAGTATCCCTGTGAAAAATGGTAGAGCATTAGTCTTGAGCACAAAAAGGCTTGAGCAAAAGAAGCTCAGGGACAGCACCCAGGCCCTGTGTTCAAGCCCTAGGACTGGCAAAAAAAAAAAAAAGGAAAGAAAAATTATTAGGAGCAACTTCAAGAAACTAGTATATGTGCTATGGTTTTTCTGTGGCAAATCATGCTTTTCAATTTACTAGTAATTAGTAATAATAGCAAGGAACTGTAACACCTGGAGTCAGAACACCTGGATTCCAATCCCAGCTCTACTTTAAATTATGCACATGTAGTCTATATATTTTTTAATTTTAAAATTAGCATCTAAAGAGTATACATATTTATGGTATATAATGATGTTCTGAATTACATACATTTCAAAATAGGCTAATTAGAATGTTACTATTTTTTTTCGGTCATGGGCTTGAACTCTGGCCTGGGCGCTGTCCCTCAATTCTTCAGCTCAAGGCTAGTGCTCTACCACTTGAGCCACTGTGTTGCTCCTGGTTTTCTAAGTGGTTTATTGGGGATAAGAGTCTCACAGACTTTCCTGCTCGCCATGGCTTTGAACCACGATCCTCAGATCTCAGCCTCCTAAGTAACTAGAATTACAGGCTTGAGCCATTGGCGCCTGGCTAGAATATTACTTTATGTGTCTATTTTTTTCTTTTAATTATTATAAAAGTGATATACAGAGGTTATAGTTACATAATTCAGGCAAAGAGTACATTTCTTTTTGGTATATGCCTATTTATGAGAACACTTCTAATCTTGGTGATTTTCAGCTATATGATACATTGTTATTAACTACAGTTACCATGTTGTAAGACAGAGCCATGAACTTTACCTTCATTTGGTTTGTGATTTAAGAAATGTTATTTTTTCCTCTGCAGACTTGATAAATTAAGGGAAAGAGGGAAGTTAAACTAGCAGATGATGGCAGACATTCCACTCTATTATTACCAGAAGCTGACTATATTTTCCACTTAATCACTGCTGCACGTAGAGCTTGCAGGAAGTCCCTAAAATGTATTCAACCACCTTCTAAACAAAAAGAGCTCTTCTTACTTATAGTCTTGCACTGGTCTAGGAAGCCTGCTTTGTCCCTTTTTGATCTGAGCTGGAGAGACAGAATTGGGAAATCTGAGAAAGCCCGGCAAGGGAGCTTAATATAATGTTAAAGAACAAAATATAGGCTCAAGCATTCAAATCTTGATTCAAGTACTTACAGAATAACCCCTGAGGAAGTTAACAACTCCTGTTGGTTCTGAGTTGCTATGAAACTTGTATCAGAAACATGAAAATGGTTACATATAATAGTTATTTGATAAATGTTAAATCTCATCTTTTTTTTGGTCGTGGGGCTTGAACTCTGATCCTAGGCACTGTCCCTCAGCTCTTCATCTCAAGGCTAGCACTCTACCACTTGAGCCACAGCATTATTTCTGGCTTTTTGTTTATGGGGTGCTAAGGAATCGAACCCAGGGCCTCATGCAACGAAGGCAAGCACTCTATCACTGAGCCACCTTCCCAGCCCTTAAATCTCTTCTTTTATTTACATTTTCACAAAGAAACTTAAAACCAGTTTGAATTCTAGATCTAAACCTCAAACTTTACTGTTTGACACATCCATCTGTCCTATATCTTTTTTTTTTTTTTGTCGGTCGTGGGACTTGAACTCTGGGCCTGGGCGCTGTCCCTCAGCTCTTCAGCTCAAGGCGAGCGCTCTACCACTTGAACTACAATGCCACTTCCAGTTTTCTGGTGGTTTATTGGAGATAGGAGTCTCACGGTCTCTCCTGCCCGGGCTGGCTTTGAACCGTGATCCTCAGATCTCAGCCTCCTGAGTAGCTAGGATTACAGGCGTGAGCCACCAGCGCCCGGCTTATCTTTTTATTTTCTTTCTGTCTTTCTTTTTTTTTGTCAGTTGTGGGGCCTGAACTCTGGTCCTGGGCACTGTCCCTCAGCTCTTCAGCTCGAGGCGAGCACTATACCACTTGAGCCACAGCGCCACTTCCGGCTTTTTTCTTTTTGCTTATGTGGTGCTGAGGAATCGATCCCAGGGCCTCATGTATGCAAGGCAAGCATTATATCACTGAGCCACCTTCCCAGCCTGATCCTGAGCTTCTTTTGCTTGAGACTAGCACTCTCATTAGAGCCACATTGCTACTTCCATCTTTTTCTGTTTTATATGGTGCTGGAGAATTGAACCCAGGACTTATGCATGCCAGGCAAGCACTCTACCACTAAGCCCTATTTCCAGCCCTCTCTGGGACTCTATCTTCAATTAATCACAGAAAAAGGCAGAAGTGGTGCTGTGGTTCAAGAGGTAGAGGACTAGTCTTGAGCAAAAACATGAGCTCAGGGATAGTACCAAAGCCCAGAGTTCAAGCCCCAGGTCCAGAAGAAAAAAAAATTAAAAGTAGAGCTCTGGTTCAAGTGGTAGATTGATAGTTTTTTGTTTGTTTCTTTTTGTTGATGGTGTGGCCTGAACACTGGGCCTGGGTGCTGTCCCTCAGCTCTTCAGCTCAAGGTGAGTGCTCTACCAGTTGAGCTGCAGTGCAACTTCCAGTTTTCTTGTGGTTAATTGGAGATAAGTTCTCACAGACTTTGCTGCCTGGGATGGCTTTGAACTGTGATCCTCAGATCTCAGCCTCCTAAGTAACTAGGATTATAGGCATGAGCCACAGGTGCCCTGTTTAGATTGCTAGTTTTAAGCAAAAGAAACTCAGAGAAGCTAGGTAT